TTCAGAGAGGCAGATTCTAACAATTATAGCTGCTGTCCCAAAGTAGGACAGGAGGCAGTAAGTTCCACTTTCTCTGACTTCAAGCTCTAAGGGATGATCAGTTTCGGGGAATGTTGTGCAAGGAATGCTTGTTCAACTGCAGGTTGGACCAGTTGGCCTCTGAAGGCTTTTTCAGGTCTTAGACTGATGATTCTGTGCAGGTTATATTAAGTGTCTCCTGTGTGCTTTTACTTTCCTAGGCACAGTGGGGAATAAGGAAGACGTAGTATAAGACCTGACACATACATACTGCAGGGAGCATGTAGTCCAGTGGAGATTACAAGACACAATCATGTGAAACAATAACAAACCATACAAGGTATTATGTAATAAAGGCAGCATGATATAATGGAAAAATCCAGACTGGGAGCTCAGACCCCTTAGTTTAAGTACTTGGCTGTACCACTAAGTAACTGTGACCTCTGATTGAGTTCTAGCTCTGCTACTAACTTGCTGTATGGCAATTCACTTAACTACCAGGATTACAGTTTCCTGACCTATATAACAAAGGTGTGGAGGCATCAATTTCTGAAGCACTCATTTTTGTGATGTGCTCCCCGCCCCTTCCTAGCCAGACTTCACGTACAACTTTGCTCTGTATCTTGGGCGTGTTAGGATCTTATCACCCTATGAGTCAGTATGTTCCATGAGGGCTGGGACTACATCACCATCTCTTACCTAAACCTTTTTGTCACTTCCAGCGCCTGCCATAGTGCTGTGTATACAAAAGGTGCTTATTTCATGTCTGTCACATTAAACTGAAGTGACATAATTGAAAGAGGAAATGAGATAGGCTTGAGTCTCTAGAAGACTGGAATGTCATTTTTGTTTTCACTTAAACATTTTATTTGTCTGAGAGAGAAAGGATAGGGAGGGGAAAGAGGAGAGACTGGGAAAGAGTGAATGTCTATAGGAAAACAGAAATACACTCACTACTCAGAGAGGATCCCTCCACAGATGCTTATTATAGAAACAGGACTAAAGGGGACCTTCAGATGTCATTTAGTTCGTAACGCTGTATTCAGGCAGTCTTAAAACAAAACTGAACCAAGCCAGTGGCATGTCCCTACTACTAGACTTTGAGGAGAACAGTCCCTTCTGTCATTTATCAGGCCTGGGCATTATTTTAGAAGATTGTTCAAGGGGCAAAGCTTGCAACGAGTCTCTAAGAAACTGATTTTATTGCTGGGCAAAAAATTATTCCAAGCATTTAGGCAACAATGTATTGCAGCTGTTTCCCATAATCTCTGACAGATTCAAAGATTTGTCATGGCCTGGACCAAGCTCTCTGATACTTGTTGGGTAAAATGGAGGCCCATTAAGTTGCATTTGCTCGTCTTCCCTTTCTCATAGCTTTGCAGGTGCCCTTCCTTCTTTCTTGAAACTTTGCCTACCACTTTGTCAACGGAAACCATTTTCTCCATTATCTTTGACAAGTTGGCAATGGAGTTTTTGTATTGGACACGTTTTTTGAGCCTGAAAACTAAATCACAGTATGTACTTTGTCTGGTGTCCACGTGTCTAGCAGAGTGGCCATTTTAAACTGAGGGTTCACTGAGTTACAAACAATTCCAGCTGGTACAGTTTACAGCATTGCCACACATGCCTTTCAAAATATTTTACTATCAACAGCACTGTTGGGGGGTGCAGTATGTAATACTCTGCTCATTAGCCTCATAAGCTTCCTTTTGGAATGACCTTTTAATTCCCTCTACCTCTCTACCCCCAGGCTGCTCTCTTGGATTGGGGGTAGGGGTGGAGAATAGGGGTGGAAAAGGTTGTAGTGTTACCTGAGGCTATCCGGGAAATTTGAGTTGGTGTATCAGGGTTTACACCAGGCTTTTGTTGTGTTGTCTTAATCCGGTATTCTTCATTAAGCCCTTGGAGGCTTGATGTATATTTTCATGGAGTTTGAGGGTTTTTGAGTTTGATAGAACCTTAGAGGTCTAACTCAAATCACTGCCTGATGAAGGAAACCATGCTACAAAATCCTGACAAGTGGTTTTGATGGTCCTTATCATTCCCCTTCTCACATCTCTGGCTTTTATCTGTCTCTTTCCTTTTCGCTGTACATGTGTATTTTAGGGGTCTGGGTGAATGATTATGGGCAGGTGAGGAAGAAGAGAGAAGAGAAAAATCAGAAATGACAGCCTTCAACATAGTGATGATAACATTTTAACTTGAAAATGATTCGTCTTTGTTTCTTCCGAAGCACCGAGCACAGTGCTTAGCACATAGCAGGTACTGGATAAATATTTGTGGAAAGAAGGAAGGAGCAAGGAAGATTGACTAAGAATAAATTGCATAGTTCATACAGACATAGACAATATGCAAACAAGATGCAAACCACATGCGATTTTAAAATATGCTTTGTGCATTTCTCCATCTTTCCCACCCTCCCATTAGAAAAATCCTGTGGAGACAAATCATAACTTGCTTCAAATCCTTTTTGGAAGAAGTACGAGTATACATTTTAAATAAATAAATAACAATAATACCTTGTGCTTATATGGATTTTTTTTGAGAGTTCCTTCAAATATATCAATTTACTCCCACAAATTGCCTGTGAGTTAAGCCAGGGCAGGTATGATTATCCCCCATTTTATAAAGGAAGAAACTGACTCAGAGAGGTTAAATGGTCTGCCGATCTCTTAGCAAGTAAGCAGCCAAAGTTGGACTGCAAACCAAGTCTCCTGACTCCTAATCTGGTACTCTTTCCAGCACACTTTATTTTTATCACTACTAAGTTTCATCTCATTAGATTTGGGCTTTCATTCTAGCCTTGATTTAGGCCATCATTCTAGCTTGTCAAGATTTTCTTGGATTCCAGTTTTTTTTTCATATAGCAAATTAGCTATCTTCCAGATGCATGTCATCTGCAAATTTGATAACTGTACTATTTAAGTGTTCATCCAAATCACTGATAAAAATATTGAATAGGCCCAAGGACAGAGCCTGGAAGCACTGGAACACATACCAGGATGAAATCAATCATATAAGCATGATTATTTTTGGTCTAGTCATTTAAGCAGTTGAATTCATTCAACTATACTGTCATCTAGGTCATGCAACTCAATGTTTTCTAATTCAAAACTTTTTTTAAGTGCTAAAAATTGTTTTAATATGTAATTGGGGGAAAATAAAATATTATATAAAAAAGTTTATAATGAAAGAATGTAGAATGAATAGAGCTATGACATTATCCTGCTCAACTTATCTAATAACATTGTCAAAAAAAGGAAATGAGGTTAGTCTGGTATGACTTGTTCTTGATTAACTCATTCTGAGTTATAATGATCATCACTTCCCTTTCCCGGTATTTATAAGCCATCTTATTAATCAATCCATCAGTGATTGATCTTTTTAATAGTGTGTTTTAGAATGTTGCCAGGAATTGAAGTCAAGCTCACTGGCCTATAGAGTTAGAGGAATCAAGTTTTTCATTTCTAAAGACTGGAGCATTTCTCTCTCTCTCTCTCTCTCTCTCTCTCTCTCTCTCTCTCTCTCTTCTCCCCCACCCCACTCTCTCCCACCTCCACCATCAGCCTCCTCTGTATCTCTCTCTCTCTCTCTCTCTCTGTCTTACACACACACACACACACACACACACACACACACACACACACACACACACACACACAAAGTGGCTTAGCAATAATATCTACATTTATAAGTTTTTTTCGGTAACCTTGGATATAGTTCATCAGTGCTAGGTGACAAATTCATAAAGGACAATTAGGTGCTCTGCTAATAGTTTCCCACTTATCTCAGTTTTCAATGGACTAATTATCTATTTTTTGTCTTATTATCATATTTCTTGGGAGAGAAAACAGAAGCAAATGGAAATTGAACAGTTCTGCCTTCTCTCTTAGTGTGTATCATTATACCATTCACCCCACTAAAGTCTTATCACTTCTTCCATTGTTCTCTTGCCTACAGCATAAATGCTAAGTAAAACTCCAGAAAGGGCCTTTCTGGTTAACACAAGTTCATTCTTTCTTTTAGTATTCCTGACACTGTCATTACACTCTTTTGCATTTATCCTCAGGACCCTGTTCTTGATTTGGTTTAAATATGTGGCTCTTTTTAAAACCAGGGAGGCCACAAGGAATAATGGAAGGCATATAAGAAGACCTGCGTTCAAATCCTTCCTCAGTCACTTACAACTATATGACCCTGGGCAAGACGCTTCACCTCTCCACTTCAGTTTACTCATCTTTTAAGATAAAGGGTTGGGCCTGATTACCTCTAAGGTCCTTTCCAATTATAAATCTCTGATCCTATGAGAACTATGATTCTGATATCTGAATCGGTCAAAAAGTCTGAGATACCCCTCCCGCTTTATTTTCTCCTATCTGGATCATTTGCTTTTATCAACTTGGAGTGCCCTTTTTTTGTATTGTATTTAGGAAAGTAGATTATTAGGGAAGTGAGTTGTACTTCTCAGTATTTCATGCCCAGGCTGTTTCTTTTTAATGTAATATAATTTGATGGCTCTGGTAATCATTTTCCTTTTCCTATTGGGATATAGAATTCCTGGTTCCCTGATTCCATCTCTCAGTTTGAGCCATTATGAGGAATATCTAGGGATCAGTAGAGGCTTTTCTGATTGGTCTCTGTTCTCAGGCAAATGGGTAGTGTAGTGGGAACAGTGCTGATCTTAGAAGCAAGAAGACCTGAGTTTGAATCCTTTATGACCCTGGGCAAGTCACTTAACATTTTTCAACCTCAGTTTCCTGTAAACTGAGGGTAATAATAGCACCTACCTCTCAGGGTGAGGATCAATGAAATAACATGCAAAGTACTTTTAAAACCTTCAAACACTATGTAAGCTTTAACTATTATTATTCTTGACACACAGGGCTGGGGGGAGGATGAGAAATGTGCCAGATGTGGGTGTGGGGCAGGAGCCAGGGGCCAAACCTTGACTGGTGACCCTATTTGTGTTGTGACTTATGCAGGTCCAGTGGCCGTAATCAGTGGTGAAGAGGATTCAGCTAGCCCACTACACCACATAAACCATGGTATCACCACACCCTCGTCGCTGGACGCCGGGCCGGACACAGTGGTGATTGGCATGACTCGAATCCCTGTCATCGAGAACCCTCAGTACTTCCGACAGGGACACAACTGCCACAAGCCGGACACATGTGAGTACTTGAGTAGAAGGGTTCCCCTTTGGAGTGGGAGGGGGCTGGTCTGGCCAAAGATCCAGGATTGGGGATTCTTGCACTAGGGATTCATTCTCTGCCATCTACCACTTCCTGCCCACTTCCAAATAGGCTCTCCCTGCTTGGCTCTGGAACAGATGTGAGGAAGAATCTCTATTGTGTTCCAAGTCAGCAGGAGAGGAAAAGGTTCAAAGCACTGTGGAGGGAGGGCCTTACCTTCTGCTGCCTTCAGTAGCCTCCTGCCCTCCTGCCTGTCCCAGGGTACACTCAGTGATTTTCCCTAAGGTGATCTATTTATTTCCCAAGTCAGATAAAGCTCAGAGAAGATTGGGAAGAGAGGTCAGAGGCAAAGGGTCTGGTCTGATAAGAAGGGAAGAAATAAACAAGACAAATCCTGGCTATGTGGCTTTACTACAGATGATCTATGTCAAGCCAGAGTACAATGTTATGAGTAAGCAAAGCTCTTGCAAAGACTGTGGCTATGGTAGAGGAGGAATGAATGAGAAGGAAGAATCACTGGAATGTAAACACTCTCTAGCTTCTCCTCTTAGGGGGGAAGACTAGACTTTGAGTGTGCTGCTGTTTGTGTTCAGTCACAAAACAAGCTATACACATGGGTAGATAAGGACTCCCAGTATTCCTAGAGGACTTGGTTCCTTCTCATCCCTTTGCATCTCTTCTTCTTGCCTCAGTGCTCCTTGTTGGCCCCTTTCTTGGTCACTTGGACTTGCCTGAATGGCTCCTTTCCTAAGGCAGTACTTGTCCCTCATGACTGCATCTCCTCTCCAGGCTTACTCTGTGCCCAGAAGAACCAAACCCCCATAGTTTTGCAGGAGGAAGGGCTGAGCATTTGGCTGGAGAGCCCAAACATCTGAGACTTCTCAAATATTACCCAGCCACATATAGATAATGGAATCTTGGAGTTAGAAGAAAGTTTAATCCAAATGTCTCATTTTATGAATGAAGAAACTGAGGCCTGGAGAGGTGAAGTGAGCTCCACTTCACCACCCTGCTCCACACACTCAAGGCTAACCATCTATCTTTCAGCTATTTGAAAGTGAAGGCGTACTGCAGCATTAGATTTTTCTTCTTGCTTGGGCAGCCACCTAATTTCTCTTGCACCTTAGCCAAATAGATTCAGGAAAGGAGGTTTATTCAGTACTGCTAATGCCCATTCATTTTGGGGTCACAATAGGATGGATATTTGATGACTCTTCCCAAAATCTTTTCTCCTACTGATAAGGCTTTTAGTGAGCTAGCTGAAAGATGCCAGGGAATGGTCTTGGTCAAGCAGTAGATATCTGTACTCCCAAACTGGTGATGCTCAAACATTTGCTATCTCCTAGTTCTAGGAACAAGACTTAGATTCTGAATAATGGCTGTATCAATGGCAAGTGGAGGGAACGGTGGGAGGAGAGCAGGAAAGAACCCATATTTTAGGCATGTCCTGTGGAAATAATGGCATAGCTTTGGCTCAAAGCCTGTTCTAGAGACCAGGCTTGTTCTAGACAACTCTTGGTCCTTCTTGGGTGTGATGGAGAGAGTAACTTCCTCATGGGGTTATTGGTACCATATTTCATTCTAGGGTGGATGATCATAAGCATTCTGGGGAGGCAGCTGTCCTTGATCAGGGATTTGGGAGCTACTAGGTTGGAGATGTTCACTTTAGCTAAGCTTTTGTGATCCAGGGGCAGAATAATCTGATCATTATTTACAGTGTATTAAATACCAATGGGGAAACAAGCTCTTTATGGATGCAATGCACACATTACACCCTCAGACTGGCAGTATACCAACAAATTAGGGTGAAAGGAGAAACTAGTAATAATCATTGACCTGATTGTTTCTTGCCAATCAGTCAGAGGATGATAGAATAGTAGAGCTGAGACAGAATTTAAAGGTAATCTAATCTAACCACTTTCATCTTACAGGTGTGGAAACTGAAGAATAGAGAAGTGAAAAAATTTCTCAAAGGTCATATAACTAGTTAGTGGTAGATGTAACGTTTGAACCCAGGTCCTCTGATTCCAAATATGGTGCTCTTTGTACTATCCTACCAATGTATAGAGGACCATAGGTATAATACCATCCCTGAAACTTCTGGATTTTAGGAGAACTGGAGACCTGTTTGTAATTTTTTGTTTATTTATTTATTCATCTATTTATCTATTTATTTATTGCTTATCAGATCCCTCCTGAATTATTTGCATGAAGACTCAGAATGTAAAATTGGCATTGAGGCTCATCTAGGGGAAAAACAGATTTTGAGCCTGAGAGGGGCTTAAAGGTGAGGGGAGAAAACTTTATCAGAAGGGTAAATAATATGATTGTAGATTGTAGAATGACCTAAGTATAGGAAAAGGGCCCTTCTTGGGGGCCCTTCCATTCTGTCCTATAAAAGGACATGGGATGGTTCCCAGTTTTCCCCAGAAAACACACGTGGTATGAAAAGCAACACACAGGAGCAGTGTAGCCAGACTTGGCTAATCCTCTTCCCTCTGTTAATCCTCTGGATGATTCAGAGGCACAGTGATGGGAGCACCCCACTTCTCAGTAGAGATTTACTAGCTGAGACAGCAGCAAGGGCTCTGATTACAAAGACTTGATCAGTCTCTGAGAACAGACTCCAGGACACATCCTAGGGTGCAATGAGACACTATCATAAATAATTAAATCCAAATGCTTCTTGGCAGATAAATCAGTGAAGTACATTGTGTGATGCTGCAGACCAGACTACAATCCCTCGGTTTGGAGGAGTGGTGAGGGAAGGAGAGGTGGGCAAGAGGGGAGGAATGCTCATTTTGTGGATCCCCAGGGGTCTCACTGTGTGATTCAACAAACATATCAATTTAATCAACATATTATAGGCAAGACATTCTGTGAGGCACCAGGGAATACAAAGATGAATAATAATGACAAGAACAATAATAATGTAATAGCTTGCATCTATATAACACTTTATGCTTGAAAACACTTTCACACACATCATCTCTTTTGATAAGACACAGTCCCTGCCCTCAAGGAGCTATTCTTATTCTGAGCATTGTAACTCTGGAAGGAATGGGAGGAAAAAAAGAGGTCTCTGTACTAAGCATCATTACTTCCTGAAGCCACAGCAGCTGAATATCCCCAGTTTTGGGTGGATCTAGGACCAAAGTTCTTTCTTTTACCTATGTTTTCATTATAAATGATCTTACACATACTAGGCACCTGACAAATGTCTGTTGAATAGATTACATCAAATCTCTTTCCGGTATGGTTTGTTTATTTGATGTCTCTCACTCCCTGTGTCATTAATTTGACTCATGTTTTTCATTCTCTATTTATTTCAGCATGCCCAGTTACTTATAAAAAAAAAGTGTTCTTAAACTTTGGAATGGGATATGGGTTAGCTATGGATGGTCCCAAAGTATATGACTACCAAATCAGGGCTTCCTTCCCTTCCCCTTCTCCTCAAGCCCTAGTCCATAGCTATGACCAAAGAATAAAGAAATTTTCTATTTGGAATGGGCACTAGAGGTCATCTAGTATAATTCCTATCTGAATTATCAATCCCTTCTACCATATCACCTGAAATAGTCACTCAGCTTTTGCTTGAAGGACCTTCAGCAATAGAGATCTAATTACTTTTACAGGTGGCCCATTCAATTCCAACTTGTTAGGAAATTTCTCCTTACATTGAGCTAAAATCTGCTTCCCCATCAGTTATAATCCTTGATCCTAATTCTACATTTTGGGGCCAAGCAGAATGTCTAATCCTTTGAAATCGAATGCAACATAGCCATACAACTTTAGGTTAGAGGCATTGGGTTGGTTTCTACGGGGTAAAGCCATGGATTTTTGGTCTAGCTAATGTGTAGGGGAGATTAAATGCCATTTCTAGTAACATTGTGACTATCTGAGCTCAAACATACCCATTTCCACATGAGATATATCCTGTCATGGTTAACAATCCTGTTAAGTCAACATTTGCCAGTTCCTAGAGTATGCTCTCCATAGTGGTTATTCCAAACCTCTACTCCCCTTAAGCCCTCAAATTTGATCTCTCCAAATTTCATTTTCAGCGGATATCTTGGCTTTTGTTGAGAAAATTGAGACCATCTGGTGTGAGTTCCTTAATACTTCCTTCTTTTGGCTTCAAAGCATCTTTCTCTGCAATTTTTCTCTTACCCTTCTCTCTTTCCTCTGAGAAAAAGAAAACTACCCTCCTTTTTCAAGTCTAATTCCATTCCCCTATCTATTTCTAATACTGATAATAGATACCACCTATATCGCATCTTCAGGTTTGCAAAGTGCTTTACAAATATGATTTCATTTTTATCTTCACAACAAAACTAAGAGGTGACCCCTCATCATTTTGTAGATGAGGAAGTAGTTGAGTGATTTGCCCAAGATCACACAGACAGTTACTGTCTGAGGTCGTATATGAACTCAACTCTTCCTGACTAGGTCCAAGGCTCTATCCATTATGCTACCTGGTAGCCTCTTTACAGCATCTTGAATCTCTCCTTCTTCTTTGGTTCCTATTCTTCTTCCTTTAAGGATGCATAGGCCTTACTATCCCCCCTGCTCACCAAAAATCTCTTGAAGTTCTTCCCCTTTCAACATTCTGTCTTATTTTTGCTTTCCATTAATTTCTACCATTTGAAGTGTATAGACAGCATGCATTGCTTCTGTTTCCTCATTATCCATTTCCTGCTTGAGCCTTTGTTATCTGACTTATACTCTTGCTATTTATCTAAATTTGCTTTCTCAGGTCAGTATTGTTGTCAAATCCAGCACCCTTTCCTTAGTTTTCGTCTCTTTGAAATCTCTGTATTGTTTGACAGTTTTAGCCACCCAACTCCTTGAAATTTTCTTCTCTCTTGGCCTATGTAACACACTCCCCCTTCCTCTGTTTTCATTTCTGTCTTTTTTAAAATGGTTCCTCTTTGCTTCCTAAACAAAGTCCAGTTTTCAGGCTTTAGCCCTTCTCAGTG